TCTGTTAACTTACAGGTTTTACCTTGACCAGGAAAATAGAGTAAAGTGTCAAGGAAGTCAATGCTACTGCACAGTTTACAAACTTTACAGGCCTCCACAGGCTTCGGCAATGTTGGGAACCAGAAATATGTTCATATCAAACCGAACTGCACCCTTGATTCTGAAGGAACAGCAGTTCATGCGTTCTTAAGGTAGGTGACGCAAACTGCGTGGGGTGGCTGTCTGCATATTTTCCGAGAGCAACTCTACAAAAGAATCCAGCAAATTTTTCTATAGATGTTCCTGAGTAGCTGCTAAAGGTGTTCCTTAGAATAAGACCTTCCGAAAATCAACTTGCGAACAAGCGAACGCCGCTGACGTCGTTTCGAAAGCCGTTGATAAAGCAGCAATTTGTGGCTATTCGACGGGAATTTATTCGGGAAATCACATAAGAGAGGGGTGACGTGCGTGAATAATGCGAAGAGCAAATGTTGGCGGTGTTTTTCAGCAAAAATGCAGTCCCACCCATTACTAGAATCTTTACTGAATCAAGTAAATTTACTCGAAATCATCTGAATATGTTGTGAATCTATCGACGTCATTCTTCGCGGACCCTTCAGCCCTTTCAAAACGACTTTCCTGCGGAAATGATTGAAAAACTCACATGCAAAGGCACTTCAAGCCGTTTGCAGATCTGAATAGCGCAGTGAGGGCTTGGCTTTGGGATGATGCCGACGTCGTTTCCGCAAACGACGTCGTCGAGAAGTGAGGCTATGCCGAGAAGGCGCATCTGTTGCTCAGTGGCCGCTCTGAAAACACTCGTTCTACTTTCGTCCCAAAAAATTAGTCCGTTTCAAAAAAAGTAATGCTCTGGTTTGGAGGCAACTAAAATATAAAACAAGTAAATCATTTGGAGCTGAGCAGTGTCATACTGAAATACGCCACGCATCGGATTTTATTCACGATTGATTTAGCGTCCCATCCCATATCGTTCAGTTCCATAGCGGAACATTCCATATCCCGAAGATGTGGAGGGCGTGGCTTAGTATGAACCTGTGCCAGCTGCGGTTTGGATGAGATACAGCTACTTTTTTCTGAGACAGACGTAAACATGCCTTTCTGCAACAAGGCACTTGACTCAAATGAAAATATCCCAATAAAGAAGGTACCCTACGTCATGTTGATAGAAAGCAGCCACGCCCATTCATCCTCCGGGGTATGGAGTGCATATGACTACCCAGTGCCTGGCGTAAGCGCGATGCGTCTCTGGAGTTATGGGTAAAGGATAAAATAGTTTCCACAGAATTATTAAGCAGTCATCATCATAGAGGAAGGCACAATGTCAGGTCGGACTCCACCCCTATAATCAACGTGGACTGTGCTGAAAATCTTGCAGGGTCGCGTGAGCACTTTGGAAAGAGACCTCTGGCTATTGTGCGTTAAAATGATTAAAAAAAGTGCTGAAATCAATGACACGTCGGCCCGAGGACTATTCGGAGTTCATGTTTGTTACTGAAAACGCTCTCCTTAGTCCAGTACCTGCTGTCAGCAGTACACAAAGCCATTTTGCAGCCGAGCGC